TCACCTAGCAACACCTTCCAGTGCAAAAGTTGCTGCTGATACCCCGTCTCGAACTCGCATCACTGGATTACAAGTCCTACGCTCTACCATCACACCACCAGTACTCTCATTAAGTTAGTTATCAGAACTTTGGGTCTAGGCTGGATGCACATCGGAGGATGGCTCGCGCTATACCTTCACCATTCTAAAGGGGGCTGGGAGGCTAAGGTCCCATAAATAAGCCTCTAAGCCGCATGCGATGCAAAACCCCCATTGTACTACTACTATGGATGATGTTTCGCCGACACCACTCATTATGCCAATCAGTGATACTAAACCTGACATTAGATATTACGTACGGGATCTGAAGCAGAAGAAGTGGGACACCCAGGTAGGTTTAAATAGACTACATGAAATTAAACCAACTATCGGGTTACACCCAGTTGGTTTGTCAGTCCAGATTTGAGTGAGTAAGTGAGTTAGAATTTACAGTCACATCGGCAATATTTCAGTCATATCGTGACTAAAACAAGTTTTGGATTCATCATAAATTCATGTAAACCATAAAAAAACTGTCAACAAAGGACGGTAAAACCAATTAGAATATCACAGTATCAAGTATTAAAACTAGCATCTCTCTCTAAAATTAGATTTAAATGAGTGCAAGACAGTATAAAATGGGCTATAGATTGCCAACAACTGAAGGTAGATCACCATACTAGGGACCATATAAGTTATCACATCGTGTCGAGGGAAATACGGGGTTTTATCAGTCCCGGGTAAGGTTGTATTCCCCGAGCCGAGACACGATGTGATAACGCATTTATCTAGCCGAATGTTTTTACTAAATCAAAAGAAAACAATACACATCGAATCAACTTGCTTTTATTTATGTGAGATGCAATGTTGACAACAGCTGATTGATTGACCTCAATGCAGCGCACGTAACTAAAGGCTTGGCGATACACGCTTTTCTCACTTCGCGTGGTCACCGAGGCGTGGCGGGATAATATGACTTTTGTACTCCCTGCTCGCGGATCGTGACGGGTGTACATGGTATTTTGTCAGAGTCACGTGAACCAATCAAACCTTGACATTCTTACATGAGGCTGGATAATGGGGACTTACAGTGCTTTTGCCACCAGCATGGACCCAGGATGGATTTATGCCATCCCTCAGATGTTAGTGATTGCAGACAAATCTAGCCTTAAGTTAAAACAACATATATCCTACGATTAAATAATGTGAATTAAGTTTTCCTTAAATGTTTTGGGACTTACGTATCCTCTCAGGAGGGCAATTATTTTACAGTATTTTAACCCCCTTTGAGGATAAAGCCACTAACAATCTCAACTACCAATCACAAAAGAACATTTATTTATTGAAGAGGTCATTATCCGACGATGTGTTTGCCTTTCCAGATATACTCCTGAGTACTTGTTGAAAGTACAGGATATCCACTGTGTATCCCTTGTTATGAAAGAGTCACAGTCAAGAATTTTCCATCACAAGGGATAACTATTCAAAGGTTTTAACCTTGAAGGATACTTTTAGTTATTTTAAAAAGCAATTTTGTAGAATAAAATAATATAACCAAGATATTTTATGGATTTACGCTTCTTTTATCTTTACCCCACAACGTTTCGGGTGTGACAGTTGATACTATGATGTCATAACTGTTATGACGTCACAATACATGTGACATCTCAATCCACAAGGAAGAGTATAGTATAAGTGAAGTTAAAAACTTGACCTGTTAATTACATAATGATGATTAATTAATTCTAGATAATAGAGTTGAAACTTGAATTGCTAATACACAAAGATTGCTAATTACACAATGATTGCTAATTAGACAATGATTACTTGATAGTAGGCTTTTCAAAATGAATAGAAAGTGTCAACTGTCACTTCACCTGATGAAGGGATCTGTAATGATCCCGAAACGTAGTGTGGGAAAGAATAAAGAAGCATAAATCCATAAAATATCTTGGTCATCTATAACAACTTCTAAATGCAGCCAAAAGAGATCTAAAGAATATATATTGTACAAAGTAAGGAAAAAAGTTGACTTGGAATAATAATACATTACTGTGATTGTTAATGGTTGTGTACTTGGAATAGAAGTAGGGTAAACTAATTGCTCAATGAGAAGGTACTTAAGTCCAAAGTATTTTTCATTCTATGTTATTTTATAAGTAAAATATGTGTGTCTAATTTGGACAAAAGTCGCCATCACCTCAAGGAATCACGTAAATCTAGCTAGGGTCCACGCAGGTGTTAGTGAGTGAGTGAGTTAAGATTTTAACTCACATCGACAATATTTCAGCCATATCGTGACTGAAAACAAGTTAAATTTTACAACAAATATAGGTAAATTATAAAATTCTGTCAACGAAGGACAGTAAAACAACTAGAATATCACATATATAGACTTAAAACTAGTAATTAAATCTAAAATGTTTTAACCATACATGGCAATACCATATGAAAAACAGGCCATAGATTGCCAACAACTGCAGGTAAGTCACCATACTAGGGACCATGGGGGCTTACAGTACATTTGCTTCCTGCATGAACCTTAGCTGGATTTACACCATCCTTTCAAATCTTAGCAATTTTAGCAATCTAGCCACAACTTAAAATAACAAATACACTGCGGTTAAAAATAGTAGTATGTGTAAATTTACTAGAATTGTTTTGGGGCCTGCGTACCCTCAGGAGGACAATAATTTTCGGTACCTTAACGCCCTTCAAGGATACAGCCACTAACAATATCAGTTGTTAATTTAAACTACCAATCATAACACATTTATCTATTTACACAACTTTAATCCAAATTTATCTAACAATTCTATTTCTTTTAAAAATTCAATTATTAAATGATAATTACCATTAAAAAGATCCTTCACTGTTCAGACATTGAAATAGTTAGGCGTGCAGGTATTTAAAGTACTATAAGTCGGCATGATGCATTGTTTTTTTACCTACCTTCACGGGCGTTTACGTTCTAAATTTATTTATTTTAATGTGTATAGAAGTGGCATATTTCATGCTTAACTTACATCGATTATTTAATATCGTTTGATAACCATCAAACAGCCAATTCCCTTAAACTGGTGTACACACCTGAACTCGAAATTAAGGAGACAAGTGAGACCGCCTCAACTGTTTCATATTTGGATCTATGCATGAAGATTCAGAGTGACCAAAAAATCTCCACAAAGCTGTATGGTTTCAACTTTCCAACTGTCACCTTCCCTTTCATATCGATCAATATTCCAATAGATCCAACCTTTGGTGTTTACATTTCACAACTTTTGAGGTACAAATATTACTAGACTTAGCATATTTTCATGACGGGTGAATTTAATTCATCTGAGACGTTCCTATGACTAACAAGATATGCTGGTTCAAGAGTATGGTCTTATTCTGCATCATTGTTTATCACCTGACTCTAACTCATAGCTTTCAGTTGGCTAATTTCAAATTAACGTAATTCCCATGCACAAATCTGAGCACCCCTGTGATAGCACTTAAAACAGTATAGGCAACAAGATTCAGGTTGCAGAATTTTACAGGACAGTGAAATGCTTTAACCCTAAAGTATGCTTACGTGTATTTGATCTTTCATACCCTCATTAAGTTAGTTGCATTCTCAATGTTATTTGGAAATTTGATATATATAGTAATTCTGTAAAATTAACTAAAGTTAGTAAATTATGTTGAAGCTAATATTCATGTGGCATTGTTGGAACTCGTGCAAAACCGAATAGCATACATTCTGATTAATGTTCTGTTTTTACGACTAAGCTCAGCTTCCTAAATGTATTTATGTGCTATGTTTTCTTTGAATTGTGTGAGTGGAGATCGTAAGTGAAAAAGCATTGTCACATAGATGATTGATTAATGTTCTCTGTCAACAACTGCTTTCGTTGTTTTTTTCTTTGGGCTGTATGATTGTAGATCGTGAGAGAAGGTGAATGCATTGTCACATTCATATTCTTTTAATATACGGTTGAATTTCTAAATAATCGCCAAAGCCTGAAGGAATAATGTAACTCAAGCTGGGCGGCACGCAGGTAGCAAAAGTACTGTAATTACCCATGGTCTGTGGTATGCTGATCTACTTCACCTGTTGGCGATTTGTAGCCCGGTCTACTATTCTATTGTTCTCTTCAGTGATATCTTTTTAAGTAAACACGCCAGTTGTAAGCCAAATCTGGGATACGCTGGCATTGTACTTCTTCTTTGACGACATGTTTATATGGACTAAAGTTATTGATGTTAATGTACAGATTGTTCTCATCACAATACGGCTGGCATATTATCGATGTGACGTCCCCATTTCACGCATAAGTTAAAAAGCATGAAGCAAGGGCCATAGTTTTGTTAACAGTTATGTGAAGACACCCATTTCTGGACTAAATTTGTATCGTGACAGTAACAGCTGTGTGTACAATTTGAGTTCCCCATTCTAATTAGTTTAGGAAAACTTGTCCCTTTCCGGAAGAGGAAGGACGGTCCAATATCTTTCGCCCAACTTCTAGGCATAGGATCAAAATGCTACGTCAAAGATAATACGTCATCTCCATTTAACCTGGTGTCAAAATGTATACCATTCTATGACATGCAAATACGATTGTCTTTACCTGGAATACTATTAGAAAACCTTTTCAACTTGGTGGCACAATCAACAGAATTGATGTTTGTAGGTAACTCGAGCCAAAAAGTAAAAGGTCTCTTTCGAATTGATATCACAATTTACTGAAATATGCGATAGGACGTATTTTCTAGGAAAGAGTGTCCGTTAGCCTTCATAAAGCGTTTCTCTTTTCCACTAGAGTTTGGATTACGGACCTGACGGCGATATTGTCTGAGGGAAAATGGGCAGAGCCAACTTCTGGTTACATGTAAAACATTTATAGACACCGTGCTAACATAATGTATACATTGTTAGCTTGTGTGTACGGTAGTTAAAGGAAACAAAAATGTGCATTTTTATTAAATAAATGTCCCACCTTCACACTGCATATCGTTTGTTGTCCATGACTGGTCTTTGGTACACATCGTCCATTGTCCCCTGACTGGTGCAAAACCATTCGTCTCGTTGCAAGTCAACCAACAAATGCTCTTAAACGTCCATCCATTTGTACAGCGGTAGTCCAGGCCATTTTGTGGTGGTAATAGTTGAGGACATTCAGTTGCTAACAAAAAAATCCAGATTGTGTAAGACATCAAACAATTTATCAAAGTGATAATACAAACGGCGAACTTATGTTTAATTTACGCAGATTAAAAATCACATCTGCACAAAAATTTCTATTTTATATGTTATCTTTGAGAAGCGTACGTCTATGTTATTATTGATATGCAGTCAACACAATGCAGACAAAGTTGCTGTACCAATAAAGAAGATTCAAATGGGTTTCCAAAATACGACATGACCTCGGGCAAGTTCTAAAATTTTGGAAACTCTTTGCAATGAGTGAGTGAGTTAAAGTTATAAGTAACATCAGCAGTATTTCAGCCATATCGTGACTATATCAAGTATTATGTTTATAATAATTACAGGTAAATTTTAAAAACCTGTCAAAGAAGGAATTTATCACGTATATACATTTAAAAAACTAGCAATTAATTTTAAAACATTAACTATGCAAGTAGTAGACAGAGTGAGGCTTCTGGACCAGGGTAATCTAAGGCTTCATTTAATAGATAAAGCCTTAGTTGGACCCTTACCATTACCATCTACTACAGAGCTTTATTTCATAAAATAAGACTTTTTCAAGCAAAATGTCCCAATTCCCAAAGAAATGTATTACGCTCCCAAGGGGAATTGTGTCTCTCATATCACACGAAACGGTGGGATACGAACTCCACCGGGTATCTTACCTCTATGTCGTGTTGACAGGAGGTAATACTGTGTCATACGGTACGATCAACAATTCTTCTTTTACAAACCCTCTGCCCGGTCCATCCATCAAGTAGTACAAGTTAGGTTCGTCGGCTTTTATATCCACTTTATCTATGTTGTAAGTTTTGACTGACCATATAGGATCGGTGGCACGCTTACGACTATCACCCTCATGTTCTCCCGGTTGGTATAGATACCTCAGGAGAGCTCGGTCGGGTATCTGTTTCTCCTTGCCAACCCGTGATGGAGCAGCTGGTTCGGCTATCACCGATTTTAGTTTGATAGCGTCTGCCGGTTTCTTGCCGGTGAGTCGTGTGATTTCATGGTTGATTGCCGACACCACCTTAGGGAGCCGCGCGACCCATTCGGTGTTGGGTTTATTTAGACTTATTTCCTGAGCGTACTGATACCCAAATAAACGCTCAGCCAAAGTCCTATTAAATCTCTCTACTATAGCTTGACTGCGATGGGCTCCGGCAGTACCACGCCTAACCCTTGTATCGTGCTTAGCCAGCAACTGTGATAAAACACCCATGAACTCCCGACCGGGGTCAACTTGCAATACAGTAGGCCACGTTAGTGGACTGCGTTTGTATATACGCTCAATAGCTTGAGCTACCTGGGCAGAATCTTTCGCGGTCAATGGTTCAGCTTCCTTATACCGGCTGGCTACATCCACGATAGTCAGGGCATACTTGTAGGTTTTACGTCTCACCCTGTCGTGAGGTAGGAACAGTAGGTCTGCTTGGTGAACGTTATTAGGTACATTAATACCAAACTTCCTTCTAGGCACATAGCGTGGTGGTGGTAAATATATCTGCCAAAGTGCTTGTTTTTCAAGCCATGTTTTGACCTCCTCCGGGGATACTCGAGTTATTTTAGCTATCTTATCTACAGCGCGCTAGCTCCTTTCCAATACCCACGTGGACTATAGTAAATAGCCTCAAATTTTTTTCTGGTTCCGTGACATGTCACCATTTATTTATACCTATGTTCTTGGTTCAATTTTCTCATGTCCGTACGCGTACGTGTTTATCCCATCAATGGCTATCCAACGTTTAGTGTCCATAGGTGATAATGATGTTTTATTTATAGTCAGCCCGTATATCCTATGCCCATCACTTCTAAGTGTGTTCATTTTATGTTTAAAGGTACGGGTCTTGAACAGGGCTTCCTTGAATCTGGCGTGTTTGATGTGTTGTTTCACCACGTACTTCTTAACACCCTTAGCTTTCCGGATCTCACCATTGTCAGCCTTCAGTATAGAGTACATCTTAGGCCTCAACCCTATGTACTCGGCTATGGGCGTGCCAGCACACTCGTCCTTCATCTTACCTAGGACCTTTTTTATTCACCGTGCTGTGTATGGCATGGTCCTTGGGGTAGTCGCTGGTGTCGTACAAATCGAGGTGTTTTTTTCATGTCCTCGTACACGTCCTCGGTTCGAATCTCCATCAGCAGGGAATCCGTGTCAGTATATAGTACTTCACACCTGTCATCGTACTGTTTCTTCAGCTCGTTGTAATAAAAGTCATACATCAGGTGTTTGGATAAATCGAGGATGCTCATCCCAACGTAAACAGGCCGGTTTAATATTATGTGACTTTTCTTCATGTGTATGGCAGCCAGGTCGTTATCGAATATCTTACTACGGTTGAATGCAGGGTTAGCGATCAGCTTCCTGAGTTTTTCCTCCTCATTCGACCGAACCAGCTTCACGTCCACGCGTTTTCTCAGGTTCTCCATCGTCTTACCGAATACCGAGTTGTTCATGAGCTTATACAAGTTTTTCTCAAAGTCACTGGTGGCCAGCTTTCGCAGGTCCGTGTTCATTCTGATGTAAGGCTCCATCCAAGGACTTTGGGCAAACTTCAGCACTCTGTGTATTTTGGTCAGTTTCATACCCAACGACAGGTACAGCTGCAGGTTGCGATAGTGAACGATGTACTTGGTCTTATTCATTAAGTTAGGCACAAGTTTTTCAACGCCCGTCACCCGCCTATCTAACAAGTTATGTTGGTATTCAGACATCCAGTCTGGGTTAACCCTCATACGTTCGGGGGCTAGGGGGGTAACTGTTGTGTGATGTGTGTAATGCCTTGGGATACTCCAAGTCAACTTCGAGGATATAACCTTTGTTCGAATCCGGCGCGATGCTCATAATATCGAAATCGGATGATACCCATTCGAATCCCCCTGTGGGTAGATACTGGCTCATTGCCCAGCCGTACAGGTTGTTGGCGTCGAGATAGAGAATGTGATTGGTTGGCTTGCTAGGGTCGTAGCCATTCACGTATTGATTATTTGCTTTAGCGTATCGTTTGGTCGCCATGGAGATCCCACCTCGCAGACCTTTCTCAACGAACAGGTGCATGTCATAATCAGTAAGCAATTCCAACTTAACTCCGGTCTTTTTTAAGCAAGGCATCCCACGACAGGCCTGGGCTGGTGTAATACCATGCTGGATCTAGTTTATACTGCTTGATACATGTCCTCCTAAATGTCTCAAACACGTCGGCTAATAGTAGTACATCCATCTTCAAGTACAGATCGTGATAGTCACCCAGGTTTTTACAACCAAGTTTATTCCATACATTAATAGCGTACGAGTAATCGTCTTCGGATATTTCCGAGTCTGTCAGATTGCTGTAAAATTCTCTGATGGGGGGTAGTCTGGTCTCGGCGAACTTAGTCCAACTATCCATGTACTCATAGGGATACACACCCTTCCTCATAAGCAGAGATCTAGTCTCGGCGTCTGTGTATCGATCGGTGATAGGGAAGGTATCGTTGGCTTTGATCAGGCTGGCTAATGACGACAATAGAAATTGACACGAGTCAATGAACCTAAGTCCGTCTAAGCTGAAAGAGAGATATTTCTCCATGTTGTTGGGGATGCACGTTATATTACCATCGATTTTCGCGATGGCCTGCATGATTAAGTGAGAGTCGTACCCTCTCAAGTTGTGAAAGACAACGGGAATGTTTATTGTTTTAGGGTTGATTCTAAGCTTGAGGTTACACTCGTTATGAGCGGCGCCCTCTATACTTACCGGTTATGTGACAGTGATCTCTCACCGAATCACCGTTCAGTGGTGAGTCACACACGTGACAGTTAATGCTACGGGAGTGAGCTAACCTGTCGGCTTGGGTTATACGCATGGGAGCGATTCTATACAACTTTTCACTAATAATTTCTTCTTCCTCCTTCAAACACTTTAGAAACCTTTCAACCGCGTCAGGACCCCTGTATACTACGGGAGATTTCGTTTCACCGTCACAACGGACGACTACGTATCCAAACCCACATGCTTCATGCTCTTGTGTTTTGTATGTGAAGCTCTCACCTGTGGGGGTATCCTCAACAACCTTAATTGGTTTGATCAATGCTTCAAAGTCGGCGTATATGATATAAGGCACAGACATTTGGTGCTTGTGGTTGTAGAATTTTAGGATATTGTCACCTTCCTCGGGCATGTCGATGCGTATAGCCGTCTGTCCCACACCTTGACAATACTCCTGGTGGGATTCTAATAAATCAGCTCGGCTGAAACCGTGCAGACATCGCATACAAAAGTGTTTTTTCCTCTTGTGTTTCGACTGATCGTACAACAAGCGATTGAAATGTTTTATCCACGTGTAGTGATACTTTTCACCTCGTTGGATCATGAATATATTGATAACACGTTTCCCCACCAACGAGCTGAGCCTGTGTATTATTGTTGTGTCGTCTTCGTGTCCAAAGACATTTATAGCTAGATTATTCTGTTTTTCTACTTTAGTGATCTGAGATATGGTGGTTGGTTCATCTATACCATCCCAGTTGAGTCCATCGTCTTGGGGATAACTAGAAGGCCTGTTCGAATGAGTGTCAGCTGGAAACAAGGCTGATCTGATAGCTAATCTCAAGCAATCGTTTCCTCTATTCTTGACATTGACTATGGCCTTTTTTTTCTTATAGTATGGAGGCAAGTCTAGGTATGACCCGCCTTTGAACGGCACGTAGTTAGCTATGTCTAGATAGACAATATCGATTTTATCTACAGCCCACCCGGATCCCAAGTGTGTGTAGCGTTCTAGGTATTCCTGTATCTGCTGAAAACTAGTATCGATCGATGTGTTTATAGTCTCTATCTGGGTCACGACCTCTTGTACACCTCGGAAGTAAGGCTGAACGTACTCGGTAACATCCCCTACGTTCTTCTCGAGTGTCATTTTAATTGTGATTTGAAATTTGATACTTCCAAGACTGGCTAGTTCCTGTTTTATTTTATCATCTATCAGGGGCTT